CGGCGGAGGGGTGTCGTGCCGCCATCGCGCGCGCGCGCGCCCGGCCGCCCGCGTCCGCTCCCGATGATGTCACCGCGCGGGGCTGAAGCCCCGGCCGGGCGAGCGCTGCCATAGATACGGCGGGAGGGCGCGCTCGGCATCCCTCCGCGGGGACTGCCGCTCTCTCCCTCCCGCCGCCATAGAGATGGGGGGGGGGGAGCCGCATCGTCGGTATCCTGGCAACGGAATAGGCGGTGGGGGACAGAGGCCCTGGCCTCAGGCAGAAACTCGGCCGGTGAAGCCCAGCGCTCATGCTGTATCACACGATCGGAGGAAAGGGGACAGTGGCCCCCGAGGCTTATGGCAGCCTTTCTGAGCGTGCTGCCCTCCAAGAGCTGCCGAAGCGCTAAGCTCATCTCCCTGGGGCTACCAGCGCCCCGATAAACCCGATTTTCCTCAGCCTAGCGCCCTTCAAGAGGTGCTGGACTTCCATTCCCATCATCTCCAGCCGCATACTAGCTGAGGATGGTGGGAAAGAAAGCCCATCATTTCTTGGAGGGTGCCTGGTTGAGGAACCCTGGCTTGTGGCATGAGAGGATTCTTGGTCATTAGGGTGCCTCAACTTGCCCTAGGCTCTGATGGGGCCAGAGCAGGTCATGCCCGCGTGTCTCCTGCACCTTCTAGATTTTATTCACTAGGCTGCTCTTGGGAACCAAGGTCCCATTTGGATGCCAGGAAGCGCTTCCTGACAGTCAGGACCCCGAGGGGGTGGATTGGGCTTCCACGGGAGGTGGCTGCGGCCCCACTGGCGGGTGTGTTCAAGGACAGGCTGGATGTGCACATGGGAAGCCGGCTGGAGTCGGGGATCGGACTAGATGGCCCGGGAGTCCCCTTCTGACTCACTCTGTTTCTGTGGTCTGAGGAATGTGATGAACTTTAAGTGGATAAAGAAATGGGTAGAGGAAAGAGCCATAAGCCAGGCTCTTCCTGAAGGCAGGGACAGCCTGGGAGTGGCCAGCAGCCTTTCAAGCACAAATGGGCCACATTCCAGTGCTGGGCGCAACCAGAATGACCTGCACATACGTGGTGCCTTGCCCTTGATGAGCCCTTTGCAGAGGAACTGCAGCCACTGGGGATGATGGGGAAATGCAAAAGCCAGGAAGCCACCGAACAATCAGAAGGCAGGGAAGAGGGCCATGCCCATCTGTGGAGCTTCTGGAGCCTGGTTTCAGCACCCCTGAGCTGCTGCTGCTGTTATTTTTTTATTTATTTTTATACTGTTCTATAGCAGAAACTCTCTGGGTGGTTTATAAGCAGTCCAGAACAACAAGGCAATAAAATGCCCTAAAACCTTATCAAAGAAACATTTAAAATTTTTAAACTGTGCCAACTTACAGTAAAGAACAATCCCATGAAACACCTGGGTTGGGAAAACCTCTCAGACCGGGATAGCCAAGAATGTCTTTAAAAGCCTCCACAGAGATGGACAAGAACCTTGTGGAGAAATGAAACATGCAAAACTGCCCAGCTAACTGGATTCAAGTCTCTTTTAAAACCTGGAGTGGGGAGGATCATTCTAGACTCCAATGAGGCTTAAGCATATTTGGATTAGTAAAGTCGTCGTTAACCACCCACAGAGTGTCAGCTATTGGCCCGTACAGAAATGAAATTTAAGCATAATAGAGAGGTCTGTTGTCCCGCCATTGGCCTCCAGTGCAAAAGAGCAGATATTTTAACTGAGAAATACTTAAAACAACAGAAAGACTTTAAGAGCCACTTGGTGTCATGCTCCTGTGTGGCTCAGAGTCACCTATATAATTCATGGGAATATAATGGAGAAAGTAGCTTGTCAGATTCTTCTGCTACTGACAGGAGACAAAAGGTTTTAGGACTTGTTGGCACTGCTAATGACCTGCTTAACTGCAGCTGTGCCTTCCCAAGAGAGAAGGCAGTTCTTTCACCTTCTGCATGATGAGGGCCACATTTAATCATAGAATCCGAGAGTTGGAAGGGGCCAGGGGGCCATCGGGGGTCCAAGCCCCCCTGCTCAGTGCAGGATTCCAAGTTAAGCCATTCTGCTGATAGCAAGCAATTTACTGCCATTCACATATTTGTCACATGGCGCATCTCACCACTCTTGTTATGCAGCCTAAGGAGGGGATGGGCTCTTTCGACCTGCAGACACTCAAGATGCAGCTGGGCAGCCAGCTGTCAGGGCTGCTTGAACCTGGAGTCCAGCACTGAGCAGGGGTTTGACCCCATGGCCTTCTTGGCCCCTTCCGGGTCTACAAATCTATGATTTCATGCTTGATACTGAGGAGGGGTTACTACTCAGTAATAGCTGCCTTCTCTGGGTGCCTCCACCAAGTGAGATGGGGCAGCTGGCTGCTGATCTTTTCATTAGTATCACCCCAGTTATGAAATAACGTGCCCCCGAAACGTTCTCTCGATGCCTACATTGTGGTCCTTTGCATGCCAAGCAAGGGCATTTTATTTTTCTTAAACTTGTTTTAGCTGCTTATAACCCCTGCCTGCCTTTGCCACAACATACCCTACTGTTCCTTGGTTTTATTGCATTCCAACATGTTCATTTTCTGGGAACACTTTGTAAATAAATCAAGATTCCAGACCAGTGGGTTGTCTCCAAGAGTGTCATTCCACCGGCACAGAAGATGTTGTGCTGGGGAGACCAAGCTCCTCACGATGCGCAGTGGAAGAAGGATCCGGCTCAGGGGCTGCTTGTAGCATTGGTTGTGTAGCCCTGTGCAGATCCGAGGTTTGCAGAGCAGTTCACCGGTGCATGTGTAAGGGGAACAGGCCGTGGAGCTTCACCAGCACAGTATTTTCTTCCCCTAGCAGTGCTTTGGATTTAGACCCGAACCCTAAAGGGCGTCTCAAGAATCAGGTAGCAAGTGATGGGAAGGCCCTTGCCAGTGACTCTGGGTAACGCCCACCATTCCACAACATAATACAGAACACATTCTGATCTACAGCTTCATATCCTTGCTTGTAAACAAACATGCATGCATGATGCGGACTTGCACAATGGGAATGCGCGGCTGAAGCGGTCACTGCCCAGGATCTGAACCTTCCTGCTCTAGTATGCACATGTCTCCCCCCCCCCCCCATCCATCTTGGAAGAGAAACTTCACCTGCCTCACTTCCATGCTAGACGCATGCCCCAAATCCTGCCAACTCTATCTTGATGCTGGCAGCTTCCTTAAACACCCTGTGGTCTGCGTGCTATTGATGGGCTTGGAAGGCATTCTCATAAATAATTGTTTCTCTGACCAGCACCTGCTCCCTTCGTCTCCCCCAAGCAGGTAGCCAGTGGAAAAAAGGATCAGGTAAAGCATGGCGCAACACTGGGATGATTCCACTGGAACTTCAGGGATGCTTTCGGAGATATTCTGGCTTGGGAACAAAGCTCAGCTGCATTTCTTCTGCCTCAACTCACCAACTGTACTTTCAGTGGTTGGGTAACTTCAGGTGACCTTGATATACTGGGTGAAATAGGGGAGCCACTTGTGACTCACTAACAATGAGGACACAAAAGGCAGGCAAACAACTTGGGCAATGTACATAGGCATGTCTATGTGTTGATGCAACTTCAGAATAATGGTTGAAATTTAAGTAGCAATGCAAAATCTCACCATAATGAAAAAAACCATGACTGGGTGACTTGCATACCGTGTTCAGTCTGCTGCCCCAGCGTGGCCGAAGGGCAGCTTTGAGGTCTGGCAGCTCTTGCTTCTTCGGGTTCTTAATCTTTAAGCTGGACTTGAACTGGACAGCTCCTCAAACAGAAGACAACTTCAAAACAGATCACGATCTTCTGGCAGCCCTTCAAATAGAGGACTGTCCTTTGTAATTGAGGACACATGGCTACCCTAGGCGAAGACTGCATAAATGATGGGCACCTCTAAGAATTCATCTTGCTGAACTCAGATAAATCGCAGCTATTCATAATTCAGGAGAAGATGGATGGAAGTGTGATCGTGGCTATTGCATCGACTTAGGTGAAGGCCAGACAGATTTTTTTTTTCTATTTTCTTTTCAAGAAAGAGTTCATGTGTCTCAGCACAGTGCATTCCACCCTGGCAAAGGGGCGTTCTCTTACCTGAATTGGCTTTCTGGAGTGAAGACCATGGGTGTACGTGCATACAATTAGTTTAAAGTTGCAAGGAGGTTGGATTTGAGTCTACATACATTTAATTCATAGAACCACAGAATACCAGATTTAGGAGGGGCCAAGAAGGCCATCAGGTCCAACCCCTGCAGGACTCCAAGTTAAAGCATCCCTCCCAGAGGGATGCATCCTGAATACCTCCAGTCCGGGGGAGCCCAAACCTCCCCAGGTCAGGGGTCCCACTCTCCTACAGCTCTAACAGTTCAAAAGCTCTTCCTGATGTCCAGACAGGCTCTCACTCCCTGTAGCCTGAGCCTCTTATGCATGTCCTGCACTCTGGGATGATTGAACAGGGACCCCATCTTCCCCTGTACGACAGCCTTTCAAGGACTGGGTAAGCCAAGCAAGGAGAAGTTTACAAATTAAGCTTGGTCTGCTTCTCAAAGGTAGAGATCCAAAGATCCATCCTCCTGAAGCTGCACAAGGAAAGCGCCTCCGCCACATTCCCCAGGGTCCCAAAATGTCCAGAAAAGCTCCACTTCTCCCCTTGGACTGCGTCCTTTTTCTTTTGTTTCTTCTTTTATAACAGCCCCCTTGCAGGGACTGAGGCTGAGACGAAAGAACTGGTAACCAGGAACAAGGAATTTTAAGCGGGAATGTCCCTTGACTCCTTTTACATCGTAATGAGGCAGCGTTTCAGCAAGAGAGACCCAAGGGCTTAGTTTGTATAGCGATATCCGTTTCTCCAGGGAATTCAGTTCTGCAGCTGAAACAAACTACCCATGAAGAGA